GCACAGAAGGAGCTTTGAGCAGGGTGGTGGCTTTCCATGCCCCAGAGGAGCAGAGCTATTAGACTCCTTCTCCCCCTGCCCAAGTGGGCTTTCCCCCTCCATCCAGCACAGCAGCTGGCCTTTGTGCTTCATTTCTGACTCCTCCTCAAGCTCGTGGCTGCTTTACAGGGAGCTTCACAAGGTGGATTAACTCCTAGGAGTGGAATCACAGAAAAAATGAGGCTGGAGGGACCTCTGGAGGTCTCCAGCCCATCCTCCTGCTCCAAGCAGAGCTGGCTGCAGCACTAGAACAGGTTTCTCAGGGCCTGGCGCTGTTGTTCGGAACATCTCAGACTCGGAGATGCTGCTGTCTCTCCATCTCTGTCCCTCCAACACAAAACTGCTGCTTTTGTTAGAGCTCCCAAAGTATTACTTAGCGTTTGAGCACAAGATGGGTCTGTTGAGAATTTACAAGTAAAATACTCATTTATTCATTAATTTAAATGGCTCAGTTGGTGGAGGAATGCAGCCTTAACCTCAAGCAAGTTCTCAGATCAGTGGCTATGATTTGCTTGGAACCACAAGTGAGACAGACAAAAATTCAAACGTGGTTTCAAAGCACCAGCCCTTGCTTGGGAAGGCAAAAGTGCAAAGCCTGGGCTCCTTGCTAGCTGAAGAACGCAGAATCCATTCAGCCATCACAACTGAGGCAGGATGATGCATGCCTCCAATCTCTTACCCACAGAACAGCTCCTAATGCACTTGTGCAGAGCTGGCGTTAGCCCTGCCCCAGTGGGACAGGAGCTCTCTCCTACATCTGGCTGAAAGCTCCCATTTCACCTGCCTCCTTCCTCCTTCCTAAGATGGCAAATCCTGCAGAACATGCATGCCTGATGAGAAGTGCTGAGGAACAGTCACCTCCAAGGACAGTGCTGGCAGCACTGCAGCTGGGCCAAAGATCTCCTTTGAGGAATATGGGCACCACAGGACTGCAAGATGTACCTAAAACCCAGGCTCAGGTAAGAAAGAGCTGATATCTGCCCCACCAGCCATCCCAAACACCCCCCCACCATCACAGAGCAGGGCTGAGATGCCAGGATGCAGCAGAGCCAACCACACAGCCACGGAACCAGCACGTTCCAGGGACAGAGCCACTGGCAGCAGCTTTGCTCAGAGCTGCATTAAAATGCATGAGCTGTGCTAGCCCTAATGATGAGCAGAGCTGTCAACGAAGAACTTGTCCCAGCTAATTATCTCTAATGAGGGCAGAATGTCAGGGTCCCTGGAGGAGCTGGGCAGCAGCTTCCCGCTTGGCTCAGTTGCAGGAGAGGGAGAAGTTAAGCAAATGTCATTGTGTTGGCCTAGCTAAGAAATCATTAATTAGGCAAATGTGACCTTCTGTGCAAGTTTGTTCTTGGGAATCTGGACTTGCCAGAGCTGGGACGTGCAAGCAGGCTGGAAACACCCCAGCTTCTGCCACCCAAGCTGTCCCCTGCAGTGCTGAGCCTCCTGCTCAAACGCAGTGCAGCCAGGGCCTGCATAGCCATGCCACACTCATCTGTTGGTTCGGATACAGGCTGAGATGGATCCAACACAATTCCAGGTCGTCCTTTCAGGGCACAATCTTCTCTCCTCTGCAGAACAGAACTGGGGACTGATCTAAGATGCACCACAGCTACATCCTGCAGCCCCTGCCACACACTAATGACCAGTGAATATCAGAGAAAAGTTTACTGATATTCTCAAGACGCATAATATTTCATTTTATACCAGGATCAAACTAAACAGCAATCAACTACTTGCACAGGCAGAACCACCACATCAAGTCAGTCTTACAAAAAAGCTTTTAGAGACCAGAGGACAGAAAACCTTTCTTCAGGCAACAAGGACAACTCCTCAGTGGAATTCAGGCTGCTGTAATCAGATGTTGATAACTGCAACATGCTCCCTGGCACGCTCATCGCATCGCCTCTTCCACACGTGTGGCTCACACAGAAGGCTCTCAGAACCCTGCAGCTTCATCTGTAGCAGGGAGTTCTGCTCTATGCATTTCTTTCCTTCTCCTTCTCAAGTGCCTGTTCTTTCAGCTGGTTGACGAGCTCCTCAGCATACACCTTGAAGAGTGGGACGGGGTCCTGCAACAAAGAGGAGATTAAGCTACTCTGAAAGCCTGAGCAGCAGCTGGTCTAAGATGAACGCCAGGAAGGTGCCCAACTGTACCAACCCTACTTTCACACATGTGCTATCAAACTGTGCATCGTTTATCCAGTCTGCAGCCTGGCAAGGGCAACAGAAAGCAGCCTGGGAAGTACAACACCCACAGTACTTCATCTGCGATCTCTGATGTTGGTGAGATTCATGAATGCCTCATTCAAGACAAGGGCCTTTTCCCCTGCATGCAGCTGGGTCCAGAGAGCCAGTGCTGTAGGAGTGCTGATGGTTACAACCAGTGCAAGATGGGCTGGGTTTGTTCAGTACATGAACAAAGCAACTCGCTATGCTACTCCTCTACCTACAACAGCTGTTCAGCTCTGTAAAGTGGCCTCAAAGATCACAGGCACCTGTGTGGGACATTCCTCAGCTTTTCTAGTTTTGCCCATCCATGCGAATCAGCAGCAGCTCCCAGGGGCCCCTTTCCTTCTCAAACCACCTGCCTCCCTTCTCCTGTTACCCCAGGTCAGGGCTGCTCTGAAGCATGTCAAAAGAACACGCTCTTTGAAGAAGCTGGAGCCCTACGCAGTGCAGGGCCCAGCACCCTCAACAGGAGGAAACAGGTCTTGGGGAAATGTCACCAAGAGACCCCAGCCCAGCCCAGCCAGGCCCACGCCTCAGCAGCAATCTGGTGTGCTCTCCTTGACATGCTGCTTCTAACAGAGCTGCTGTCACCAAAGGTCACAAAACCGAGTCAGCCCTGAACGTGCATCCAAGTTGTATTATAGAACAGAGCCAAAGGCAAAGATGTTTGCGTTGACAGGAAGAGAATCATCCCCACTACACATCCATCCCCTGACTTGAGGATAAGATCTTGCAAAGGATTTGAACACCATCTTTCGAGCTCCCAGATTTAACTGGGCTCAAACAGCTGCTCAGGAATTTTGGAGTGCTACTTCCTTTGACAAGAAGCTCTCAGGATGCTCAGATCAACTGCATGTGCAGCCTAGTGCAGCTAAGCTACCTCTGTGCTTGCAGGACAGCACTGCCTCAGAAACTCACCTTTTTTTCTAGCAGCCTCTGCTTTTCTATTGCTTCTTCTAAACTCAAGCCAACCCATTCAGCTTCCTCTTCTGGAATCACAAATTCCTGCAATAAAAACGGATGGTAGAGTGTCTTCCAGGAGAGTAACATGCAAATCCCCTCCAGACCCACTCACACAAATGACCCAGTAGGAACATTACCACAGATAAGCCTGAAACACTGTTCCTCTGCTCATTCCACTTCCTGCAGCCAAAGCCCTCTTCCCTTTTCTTCTTTTCCCTTTGCAAGCAAATACATCATCATGTAAACTGCTCTGCCTCTCTTCTGAACAGTTCAGTAACTGCTTCTCAGCACAATCCTACAGACTGTGGAAACCAGTGCTGTTTCTATGCCAGTGCCCATCATCACACAAAGTGAAGCAACGGCACCCAGGCAGACAGGGATCCCTGCCAAATTCCTGCCTGCTGTAGGCAGTGTGTGCTCCTACCAGCGCTTAGTGCTGGTTCACACCAAAAAGAGAGGTTTGTCTTGCTAACTGGTCAGTAAGAAAACTACAACAACCCACAGGGAGATAAGAAACAGCTGGCAAAGAAGTTTAGATCTTCTGCAGCCATGCTTATCACCCTGAACAGAGAAGAATGAGCTCGTTTGCACTGCAACACAGTGAACAACACAGCACCAGTGGGGATAAGCAGGAGACATCACTGCAGCACCAGAACAAGGACTGCAAGCAGCAGAGCCAGGACCACGGGCCCAATACACACCCGGTACTTGTCATAAATCGCCTCCCTCTTGGCCGGGTCATCAGGATGCAGCTTGGGATCCCTCCGTGCCAGTCGCAGCAGCATCGTTCGCTTCAAATCCATTCCCAACTTCGAGCACATATCTGCTTTTGGGGTCTGGGGAGAGAAAATAAATTACACTGACAGGCACAGCACAGGAGCTACAGAACACACAAGTGTGTCAGAGCGGGCAGAGCCGGCTGTGTGCCTGCAGGTCCCCAGGGCAGACACACGGGAGAGGAGTCCCTCAGCCACCCCCAGAGCCCAGCAGGTGCAGCTCTCGGTCCAGGGGCACAGAGGGCAGTCAGGGCCGACACGGGGCCTTGCCTTCAGGATGTAGAAGTCAAAGCCGTAGGCCTGGTCGATGAGGTCCAGCGTGCGCATGGTGACGGTGATGGTGAGCTTGGCGTCCAGGATCTCGCTGTAAAACTGCCGCTCGAACAGCTGCGGCTTCCAGATCTTCGGCACCCGCGCGGAGAGCTGCGGACAGGCGGGCAGGCGGTCAGAGCAGAGCCGAGCCCAGCGGGCAGCCCGAGGGTGGGGAGGAAGGGAGGCCTCACCTTATCATTGTTCGCGTAGCGGAAGCCGCGGATCCAGCCCTCGCCGCCCCACAGCCCCTCGTCAGCGGCACGCGGCAGGAACACGGGCACCGGCACGTCCTGCACGCGCTCCCGCTCCCCGGTGCGCGGGTTCCTCCGGTACCGCACGCCCAGCGGCCGCCAGTGCACCGGCGTGGGCTGCGTGTCGTCGTTCAGCTGCGCCAGGTAGTGCGCGGGCAGCCGCGCGCAGATCCCTTCCTGCAGCCGCAGCTTCGGCCACAGCCGCGGCGGGACCTTGTGCAGCGGCATCGCCGCTACCTTCCGCTTCCGGTCCCAGCGGCACTCGCGATCGGAAGTGGAGGGTGGGGCGGCTTTCCATTGGCTGGCGGGACGGCGCTGAGAGGGACGGGCCGACGGTGGCCGGCGAGGGTCGATTCGCGACCGCGTTCCTCACACCCCCTCCAGTACTCAGACGCCCCGCGCACAGTAAGAGCGCGATTCGAGCTTGCCCTCAAATACCATTACGTTTATTAAATTATAAAATCAGAAGCTTTAAAATTTACCGTATAAAATAATCACAGGTATGAACAGCGAAGGAAGAAAAAAACCAAAAAACAAAAACCACAAAACCAACAACCCAAAAAACCGACATCGGATTTCCTCCGACTTGACCCGAAATAAAGAAGGTAAAAGCCCTCCCGGCCAACGCGGCTCCAGCTCCGCACGCAGCGCGGTGCCGCACCACGGGCTGGAGGAGGATTATTGCTTCAGTCGGGCGGCGCAGCACGGCCGGGCGCGAGGCTGCGGGCACCCGGTGCGCACGGGGCGTGGACGGAACGCGCAGGGAAGGGGACCGGAGCCTTGTGTGTGTTAGTGAAACACAGTGGGATGGGGGGTGGCCCTGAGCACCTGCAGGCAGGCGCTGCGGAAGGCTGCATCGCCGCAGTCGCCGCACGGCTGAGGTTGGAGGCACCGCGGGGTCGCTCTGGCACAGCGCTGCCCCAGCAGAGCCGCCCAGAGCAGGGCGCAGCTCCAAGGAGGAGACGCCGCAGCCTCTGGGCAGCCTGCGCCAGGGCTCCGGCACAGCACGGCAGGGCAGCGCTGCCCGCTGGGCGGGGGGAACTGCTGTGCTCCGGGTCGTGCCCAGAGCCGTCGCTGAGAGGAGCCCGGCTGCGTCCTCTTTGTGCCCCCTTTTCGGGTATTTACGGGCAGGGATGAGATCCCCTGCGCCTGCCCCAGCTGCACAGCCCCAGCTCTCATCCTCTCCTCCTAGGAGAGGTGCTGCAGTCCTTTCGGCCTCTTGGTGGCTTGTTACTGGACTCTCTCCAGTACACCCAGAGCTCTGTTGTACTGGGAGACCCAGAACTGGATGCCACACTCCAGGCACAACCTCATCAATGCTGAGCAGAGGGCAATGATCGTTTCTCTGCACCTGCTGGTGCTACTCGCCTGATGAAGCCAAGAACTGTCAGCTTTCTTGGTGGCATGGACACACTGCTGACTGCTGTTCAACCCCCTGTCCACCAGGACCCCCAGGGGCCTTTCCAGCTGGGCACCCCCAGCATGTGCTGGTGCCTGGGGCTGTTCCTTCCCTGGTGCAAAGGCAGAGGCTGGATTAACAGGCAGATTAATTAGGCGAAGACTGGATTAATTGCAAGAAGTTAAAGTGCAGAGCTGAGCAGAATGCTGGCTGCTATTGAAAGCAAAGAAATAAATGTTTCCTATGAACTTGGAAGTGTTATCCTCTGTTACTAGCTCTTTCCTTCCCAAAGGATAGCTGGCTTTGCAGATCAGTTCTGAGCAGTACGCACACCAGACAGGAGCAACGCAGTGTGAACCTTCACCTTCCCCAATTAGAAAGATTAAATACCACACACGTGGTGTTTGATCCCAGAGTGGGAGGATATGCACCAATTACTGGGGCCACAGGTGTCTGGAAATTAGTCAGCTTGCAGAGAGCCAGACCACAGGCTGCAACAAAAACACACAGCATCTTCACTATCTTAACTCTAGTATAGAAAGGAGTCCTAATGTGCAGTCCTAAGCTGTTCTCCCTCAGCCATCCTCCATGGCTGGAATAAACAGGCAGGGAACCATGTATTTGAGCCCTTATCTATATAATAAGGATGGGCAAAGACTACTTTCCTAATTGCCAATTCTGTTTCTGGTCTTGCTTTCTTACATCTGAGTGCCCTCCAGTAAGGCTAAGGTGAGACAGATGAACCCAAAGTGACTAAAGCTACCTTGGGAGTTCATGGAGGTGGCCCTTGGAGGGACTGAGACGCTGCCAATGGCCTGGGAGCAGCTGTGACTGCAGCACTCTCAGCCTCTCAGCCCAACTGGCCAAGCTCAGGGGTGGCACAGCTCCAACGTGATGCTGTGTGCGAGCACAGGAAAGGTGCTGAGTGCAGCACACATTCAAAGCACACGTTAACAAACCTGCCATAAGACCATACTGTGCTCAGATGACTGCAGGACTGAAGCATGCTTTCAAACTGGAGCTGCTCTAGACCCTGAGTTCCAGCTCAGCACAGGTTGACCCCAACACAGATACAGAGTGAACTCTTGCTGTCCAAAGGTGCAGGAACTGGGAGTAGTGTAACTATTTTAACTTGCAAGTGAAGTGCCACAGCCCACCACCAACACGCTGAGTCCTGAGAGACACTGCCACCTATGTTAGCTGGGCAGAGCTGCTGCACCCACAAAAGAAAGGAAGACAGCAAAGGCCTGAACATGAAGAGAGGAAGGGGAACTGTAGAGTAGCCTAGCTCCTTCCAGATGTACTAAAAGGGACAAAAAAACCTCAGACTAAACTCGCACTGCTATGTGTTTCACAGTTCTGAGGCAGACACTTCTGATGCTCTTGCATATGCCCACAATTTTTTCACATTTTTGGCAAGTCTGATCCTGAAGTTAGGGCCCAAGTTCAGGTCTTGTTCATCCCCTCCAGAATCAGGACTAGGTAAGAGCAGCATCACCTGAGAGGCACCATCTAGAGAGGGGCTCTAGACTCACATAGCATACAGCAACCAAGGACCCAGGGCATGCTGAGATCAGCTCCCTCCCTTTTAGCACCAAGAGCACTCAAAAGCATCTACCTCTAGGTCAGGGGCAGAAGAAGTCTGTTCTTCTCTTGACAAAGCAAATTTTGATTGCAGGAGAGCAAGGGAAATCTCTGTCCCACAGACCTCTGCTAAGAGAGTGAATGCAGGGAAGAGTCCTGCAGCCTCTGGCTCCAGGGCAGCACGGGCTGAACCGAAGCCTTATTGATACAGTAGAGAGGGAAGATGGGTTGGCAATTTCCCCCAGGGCCATGGGGGAGGTGGTGGGCAGACTACTCCTTGATTTGGAACCACGAAGAGCCTGCCCCATCCCAGCAGAAAAGCGGAGGGGGCCTCAAACCTGCCTTCACAAGACAAGCCCACCGTCTTCATCTTTAAATCCAGTCTAGATATCTGTGCTGCCCCAGACAGTGAACGAGCATGTAAAATAGGCCAGTGCACTACAGAGGGGCAGCCCAGGCTGGCCTGGCAAAGAGCAACCTTACCAGCCCTTCACCTCTGGGACACGGAGCCAAGCAGTTCAGGTGACAGCGTAGAGCTCCTCACGGTCATTCTGGCAGATCTGGTAGCGACATGTGAGCTTCTGTGACCAGGCCCAGGGCTTCTTATGCTTGTCCCGAGGTGGAAGCAGGAAAGCAACACTGCCAGCCACCAGCACGTGCCAGATGCTGTGAGTGTAGTAATAGTTCTCATTGGTTTCCATGAACGCATATACTGAGATGGCGATGAAAGCCAAGGTGATCCCTGGGAGGAGGTAGAAAACCCATCGCTTCCACGAGGAGGGGTAGCAGTGCCTGCGCTTCACTCCGTGGTAAACCTGGAGGTGTGAAAGCACAGAATGTTTCACAGCAAGAGATACAGCTCTGGAAAAATTCAGTCTCCCTCCATCTTGGGCTCATGTGCAAGACCCCGCATCCAGATGTGGCACCAAAACCCAGCAGGCAGAGGGCAATGCTGATACCACAGTTCCCATCCAGGGCATAGGCAACAACCAACCATTCTGACATGACACTCTGGCCACCAGTGCGATCCGAAGTGGAGCTGCAGCTGCAGGGACCCATAAGCAGGGGATATTGGAAGGATGGGAGGTAAATTCCCTGCCCTGCACTCTGTCCACTAGGGTGTTTCAAGAAAATCAGGTCTGTGTTTGATGGGTTGGCATTTTCTCTGTCACCATTTTCTCTGGAGGGGATCAAAGGGCAGCAGGTTATCTGGCTGTCATTACTTACCCATGCTGAGATCATGATGATGAGGGCAAACAGGCAGGGACCCATCATGTTCCACACCCCTCTGCGATCCAGCTGCAGGGACATGGCGATTAGCAGTGACCCCAGGACAAAAAGAACCTATGAATGAGAGAACACCACTAACATCAGCAGCTTATCCTCTGCAGCTGCACGGCTGGCCATGCCAAAGGCCTAAGACAGGGAGAATTTTACTGCCTGGTTGGCCCAGTCCTGCGTGCATGCACGATTCAGGAGCACCGCCTTTAGAAGGAGAAACTAGAGGATCCACAAATCTTTCACCTCAGCCCCTTCAGGGCCCAGTGCCTACAAACAAGCATTCAGGTTCACAATGCAAGGTTCTAGGATAAAACAACACTGGGTTAAAAACTAGAGTGGCATTGGATCACAGTCTTGTTACTTAGACGGGCTACCTAGGGAACCTAGCAAACAGCAGAGGAGCTGCGGGAGCTGCTGCAGTGCTGTGTTACCGAAGTGCTGCCACAAGAGGGCACAGCATGGCCACCTGCGGCCGCGCCTGGCCCTGCAGTGCAAGGGTACCCACAATGAAATCCTGCACTCACGTATTTCAGAATTTTCTTCACCCGGGACATGCACAGAATCGTCACCCAGATGGACACCACAGAGCCCAAGAAGTCACAGTACTGCAGTGTGTCGTAGTCCATAATGCACATCACTGCGATGCCTGGCTGGTCACACGCATGGTAGAACTGGAAGAAAAGCAAAGGCTAACGTGAATCCAGCACCACCACACAGCTTTATGTAAAGAAGCAGAAGAATGGTAGCCAGGATCCCACCTGGCAGCATCCCCAGGAAGCTCCACTAAACCAGCACAGCATTGCAGAAGGCAGCTGAAGAGCAGCCATCAATCCGTACCCTCCCAGCGTTGTGCTGGGTTCCCACTTCAGTTCCCTGGAGTCTACTCCTAAATGGGAGCACCTGCAGCGTGGGTGGAACAACCCAGTGCCAATAACTCTTCATCCAAGCTCTGAAGGGGCGGGCCACGGCCATGGAGGTGCATGTCCAATGATCCTAGAAGGATCTTGTGGAGCTCCAGGATGGACTGCTCCACCAAAGCCTTCAGTCCAACGCAACAAGTATTGGACTCAATGCTCCCCAAATTCCTGATGCTAAGGGGGAACTGGCAGAGGGCCTGAGACAAGTTAATCCCTACCGTGGAGAAGAACATGGTGTAGGTGTAGACAGAGGCCTCCACCAGGTAGTACCGATAAACAGCAACCGCTATGGCTGGCAGGAACATGAGGTTACTCAGCGTGAGCAGGAGGGTGGCCAGGTTCTGTGCACCAACAGACTGGGCCTTGGTATCGTCTGTGCAGCTCCACCCGCTCCAACCTGCAGAGCAGAGAGGCCTGTGTGGATCTCATGCCCCACCTCGTAATCCTGCAGAATGCAGCGGAGCCTGGAAGACCTCAGAAGAAGGTGTTCTCACCCCAGAAATACCCCGAGCCTTGTCTCCACTACCCTAGAAGGCAGCACATCAGGAGGAGGAAGGACAAACAGCTGTGCCCCTCTGGGAGCCCATCAGACACCCAGCATCTGGGGCAGCTCGCAGACAGACTGCTGTTTCACTGAGGACCCCAACAGTGTTTACACTAAGCAGCTGACTTGTTTGGATGTTTGCAATTGCTGTCTAATGTGATCTGCTGCAGCAGCCCTGCTTGCTAATATGCTCTGTTAGCCACTTTAATTTTTTTAATTTTCTTTTTATTCAAGATTAGGATGCCCATGCCCTCCTTTTGGAGAAAGGTCAGGCACAGGGCAACCTGGGCACATGCAGGCACTCTGCAGTCATCAAGAAGAGTTAAGAGTAGAATCCATCCCATTACAGTGCCACGAGAAACAAACCCAGCAGCTCTGTCCCCTTCCCCCTGCTGTCCCTGCAGAGCCCACAGGAGGCTGCTCTCTTTCAGTTTATTTCTGGGTCATGAAAATTCAGCTGGGGCATTTTGCTCCAAGTGATTCAGCAGAAAGTTGTCCTCAGCCTGATTCCTCATTTCCCCTGGGATGCTGTATGCTTCCCAGAACATGGCACGCTTTGAGGAAATTAGGATGTCATTCTCTGTCACAATCCAAGCCTAGCAGCAGAACTGCAGAAGACAGCAAGGGCGTCCTGGATCAGGTCCAAAGCAACAGTGAACCACGTTTCACCTTGCCCTTCTGCTAAGAACAGATACAAGGATCCATCCAGGCACAGAACAGCTATCATCTTCCCTTAGCTAGTGACTCCTGCCCAGTTCTCTCATCTCATTATAATTAGCAGCTGACACAAATGTGCCTCCTCCAGGGGCACCTCTGAGCATAAGGGTTGGCTTGCATCGTGGCTCTTGGCATGAGACAGAGCAACGCAGCAAATCACAAAGATTGCCAGCCTGTCTCATCACATCCTGTACCAGGACACTACGTAATAAACTGCCCTGAGAGACGTAGGCTCTGATGCTGACACTTTCGGGCAGCCCTGCCAGCATCCTGATCTCTTTGGGGATGCTCAGAAGCACCTCTCAAGGCCACTGGGGACTCAAAGCTGGAAGTAAAACTATCATTCAGCTGAAAGTTGTCTTCAGCCTGATTTACTGTTCCCCATGTGGCGCTTCCCAGGATCTGACACTCCTCAGGGAAATCAGGACACTGCCCATAGAGGGCATTACTGGTACAGAGGGCACTTTGGGCAGGCACTGTGATTCCAGGTTGTTTGTGACAGCTGTGACAGTCCTGGCTCTGCTATTTAAACAACATGGAAGAATGTGGCCTTCCCTTGGGGGAAGATAGCAAGGCCTCATAGGAAAGAGCACTCACCAGCTTTACAGCTGCAGCCAGCATAGAGGTAGCCGTGTCTTCTCAGGAGGCTGCACTGTCCATACGGCCCACAGTCATTGAAGCAGGGGGTGAGGTATGCTATCACAGTCACTTTGGCTTCTGCGGTGTTACATTCACTGCAATGAAAACAGGCTGTTGGTACCCTGGACGTTCTGGGCACCCTTGTGCCACAGGAATACTCTGCTTGAGGGCTTCTGAAAGTTCCTGGCCTCACTGTGCCCTGCCATCAGGCTGCTCCCACTCACATGAGCTCTCTCTTATTTCAGCAGAGGGACCCTCACACCACAGCCAGCTGTGGATCTGCTTCACTGCTCCCAAGAGGAAAGGCTCCTTCTCTACCCAGACTGCCAACCCATGTACAGGCAGGCCTCAACTCTTCCACAGACTGCTGTAACAGTCTCAGATTCTCATGACCAGTCCTCAGAGCCATCAATTTCCAGCACCATTCTACAGAGCGTGCTTGGCTCCTTACACAGATGAATCACAGGAACACAAAATGCTTGACTATGAGAGCAACTGCGTGCATTTCAAAGACCCCTTGAGGAAGTAACAGCATTCTGATTTACAACACTGCTCTCTCCAATTTATCACCTCAACACGCATCTGGGAAAGCTCATCCAAGCAGACTCTGCCACCCACATGCAGTCAGCGTGAGACACAGCAGGTCACACCAGACAAGCTGCTTGAGGGCTTATCAGAGAGCAGCACTGCCACTCACCTCTCTCCTTCCTCTCTGTAGCCACTGCCTTACTGCTACCACATGTATTGAGCCTGCAGCAGAAGGCAGGACAGTGGGAGGCGTTTTGTTTTGTTTATGTGAGACAAGGACAGCAAGACCAGGAGGTACAGTGCTTTGCCTCAGCCTCAAGGCTGGATAACACACCAGACTCACCTCTGGCCCTTCGGGCAGATGAGCTGTAAGGAAAGGAACCAGTCATCTGTCTGTGGGTACAGGACAATCAGCATTGCTTCCGCAGAGGACGTGCTCAGACTCAGAGGGTAGCCCTGGAAGAAAGCTTGAAGAGAAGAGAGTGCTGTGATATGCCAGAACTTGGGGAGAAGGGCCAGCAGCAATCCTCGGCTGAGACCAGCTGCACAGAAATCTGATATTCCTACTGCTCCTTACTCCCATCCTCACAGAACACTGGGGTGTTGAAAGAACCTGCCTGGACAGCACAAGGCACATGGAACAGCCTGTTTGCTTTCCTCTGGGAAGGCCTCATTGTGGCCTTCCAATATTTGAAAGGAGCATATGAACAGGAGGGAGAATGGCTGCTTACATGGGTGGACAGTGATAGGACAAGGGGAAATGGTTTTAAACCGAGACAGGGGAGGTTTAGGGTAGATATTAGGGGGAAGTTTTCCACATGGAGGGTGGTGAGGCACTGGCACAGGTTGCCCAAGGAGGCTGTGGATGCCCCATCCCTGCAGGCATTCGAGGCCAGGCTGGATGTGGCTCTGGGCAGCCTGGGCTGCTGGTTGGCGACCTGCACACAGCAGGGGGTTGGAGCTGGATGAGCACTGTGGTTCTTTTCAACACAGGGCATTCTATGATATGATTCTATGATTCTTGTTCTCCAATGCAGAGTTCAGCTTCTCTGCATACCAGTAAGGTCCTGACTAGCCCTAAACCTGCTAAGAAGGCTGCAAGAGACTCAGTTGCTAACCACAGTTATGGTATAATTGATGAAGCCTGGCTCCTGGTTCCAGACTAGCATCTGCACCCTTATACTTCAGGGCATTTGCCAGAACTGAGTGATGACAGCTTTAGGAGAGCTTGGACCAAAATAATCTGCCTCAAAACATCACACAAAGGATTTGAGTCAGTTAGCACCTCCTAAAAGCAAAGGTCTAAAAGCTTAGTCCTGAGATTCTGTAGCTGAGCTGGTGGTGATTGTCAGTGGCTCTCATACCTGTGCTGCAGTTCTGCGTGGTATTGAGAGACAGCACCGGCGAAGCAGCACTCACACATGCAACCACAGTGGCATTGGCCTGGCTCAGCGACGTCTGTGCAAACAGAAAAATACCCCAATCAGAGCACCTCAGTGCCACCCCCACAACCTATTGATCTCTCATGCTGCTCACAATCTATGGGAGCAGCAGATGATAGTAAAACCTGCTGATCAAAGTCATCCGTCAATTCCCCAGCTCTTTCTGGGCCAACCTGCATTCACCTCTCCCTGCCCTGTCACTGCATTGTATTTTTTTGCTGAAAGGTACAGAGAAAATGTTTCCCAGGGAGACTGCATGGCTGGAAATGCCTCCCAGATGGAATATTTACACCAGCACATCACTTCAGCACAAATTCACGGTGGTAGAAATAGGAGGCAGATGGACATCAGGGCTGAGCTGTGCTCCAGCTCTCAGGAGGGCATTAACTAGCCTTTGCAACAAGCTTCCTGCACACGCTTTCAGAGAACTAATTTCTAAGTGCCAACAAAGGAGTCTGGGAATCAGTGACTCAGATAGGAAATCCCTGGGTTTCCCTATCAGTCTGCTCTCCTGGCAGCAATGCTCAAGGCTTCCACAGAGGAGATGAAAAGCAGCTGCATCTCCATTTCCTCTACCACCACGTTCCAGTGAGGAGGGGTATTTTGGAACTGGCAAGCAGTAAACGATGTAAATATCAAAAACAGGACAAGAGTGCTTTGCAACATCAAGAAAGAAAGGAAAACAGTCTCACTGGTACCTACAACCTCTCAAATTTACCCAGGAGCTGGAAGAGGGACAAGGACTGCAAAGAGAAGACAATCACACGAAGAAGCCTACTGCACCTTGTTAAGCAGGAGATTCACCACAAGGGAACCCCCGCTATCCATGCCACTGTTCAAGTTGAGAAGGAGGAGGGTTGGGGAGATGGAGTACACGGCTACGCTGGGACCATTCAGCAGCCTGTACCGCACAGACACCACGTCCAGGTCCTCACGAACAACAGGCTGACTTTGGAGGCAGAAGCCCCTCTGCTCAGAAGCGTTGCGCAAAGCCATTCCTGTAGATGCAGTGGGACTCCCAGCCTGGCTCTGGTTTAGGCTGCTGAAGTTAAGGAACGAACTGGTACTTCCCGGTCTACAATCTGTTAAGCAGAAAAAGGAAGAGGAATCAGCACAGTCAGGACTAGCAGCTCAATAGGGCCCCGGTAACTTCAGACCTTCATGTTATAGCACACACTGTGGGGTATTTCAGCTGGTTCAAGCACTTCGGAATTTGCTACAGACCCTGAAAGGCACCATCTGTGCCAGGGAGACCCTAGAATCCAAATGTGGGACACTGACAAAAGCCAGACAAACGGTACAGCGGGTGACAATATTCTGGAGCTGCTGAGAAACAGCTGGGAAGCAGAGGAACTGGAGAAGGGATAATAGATGCTATCATAACACATCAGTGTACCCAGCAGACAGGGAATATTCACTAGGCATTGACTGAGCACAGCATTTCACTGTCCCAAAACCAGAGGCTGCAAAAAAGGCTCTAGTTGTTTCTCAGCCCTGGGCATGCAAGGCTAGGCGAAAGAGATAAGCTAACTCAACACCAGCTACAGGCACAAAACACCAAGTTACAGTGACTGGAGCCAAACACGACAGTTAGATTTCACTGCTGGAGCCTACCCGTAGTTCCCAGAGACTTTAATGCCCCTCTCACACCTCAGCTGCCAGTGCCAGGCCCTAGTCAAAGAATTCTTTAAAAAACGCATCTAGCTGCTGAGCTCCAAGGTTCCAACCTCCAAACTGGGATCACTGTCATGTTACAGGACAACACAAAGGTGCCTATGACAGCCACAGGACCTTGTGACCTCCTGAGGCACGTGGAATTGTGACATGCCATTACAACCCAAATTACCCTAAGTAAACCTCCATGAGATGGATTTCTTTCTGAAGCCTGTTTGTGGCCAATAAACAGTCAACACACCAATGGAGGCTAGTGTAATTTCGAGCAGATGCACTCCCTGCCAGATTTTGAACTAGACACTGCTTTCTCAAGCATAACAGACACAAAATTCTCTCTAGTCTCTCCCCCACGTAGCTAGAGAAAATGGAAGCTCACCTGTGAAAGAAGCCAGCATCTCCAGTGACACACTGGCATTGGCAGTACCAAGACTCTCCACCATGATCTGCAACCACTTCTCCCAAGGGAGTGAATCCAGGCTTACACTGCAGCTCACATTCCCTGTGCAAGTGATGATCCTCTGGAAGGACTGTGGCAGTGTGATGGAGCCCAGCACCACCCGCACAGCGCATGCTTTCCGCTCACTTGTCACGCAGCTTCGAAGCTCAAACCACATTCTGGCAGTGTACTTGGGAACAAAAACCCTGCAGGAAGAGGAACCAGCAACTTGCACAATTTGTACTCTCAACAAAGGGCAGCCACAGCCCACCACAGAGTCCCAGTGGCTTTGTGACAAGAACTAGAATGCCCTGATTTGCACTGTGAATATCATTCTGAGGACAGGGGTCTCTAGGAGCTAACAAATTCCCATAGCCAAATCTTTAAGTCCACCTGCAAAGAGTCAGAGAAGGGCCCCCACGTGCGGTGCCTATACAGACCTCATCACCCTGCCACATGGAGCTGGTTAAAGGGCCTCGAGTTCCAATCCAGAATGGAAACAACAGTGGCTTACCCTAAGCAGCACCAGTGAGAAATCTGACCCTCCCACCTACAGCCCCAAGTGTTTCCAGCCGCTGCTCTCACTCACTTGACATGCAGTGGCTTAGCAGGTGAGACGATGGTTTGTGGCATGGCAACACCAGGCTCCAGAACAGGCATATCAGTGAGTCTAAGCACAAACATATCTGCCTGAAACATATAGGTGCATGGAGTGGAGAAACCCTGCAGGAGGGGAGAGCAGACCGGTCAGATGTGGCAAGACACACTGGACAGAGTATGTTGGCTGTACGAGATGTTCATCAGAGCCCTTACCTTCACTTCAATTCTGCCAGCGGCCTCAGGGAGATGTGCAGCAATGAACCAGTCTCCTGCAGCAGGGGTAGTGATGTTCACAAAGGTGGTGTTTTGCACAGTGCTGCTCAGAGTGATGCTGATGTTATAGGAGGGACGGACGGTTGCGTTTGCAGGAAAATGAGTGCCCAGTGGATTAATGACAGGAGGGGCTCCATAGCGAAAGTGCCTTCAAGAGAAACCAGAATCCAAATAAATGAAGGGATGTAAATACACACGCAAGATACACTGGAATACGAACTCATGAATAGACACCCAGGTTGGCCTGAGATCAGAGAGGGTGCAGGCTAGAAATAACCCACATTTTAAGTGGAGCACAGAGCCATCATCTTCATTCAGTGAGGACTGGCTGGCATTACCTTATCTTGGACTTATTCAGAGATTGATTTAACTTGGCTGCTTATTAAGATAAGGATTTACATCATTCCATCAAGCCTGAAAGCACATTTCCGTAACACTTACTTAGGTTAAGCTCCCATACAAAACTGCTTTTTCTTTTTTTTTTTTTTTTAAATAACCATCAGCAAATTCCCTGTATAGCCAGCTAGGCTAAACCGTCAATTAAGAGCTTTCTTTTTATAGCTAAGATCTGCATCTTCCCTATTTCCTCCCCTAAGGAGGGCAGACAGATTAAAACACACTCACCAAGGAAGATCTTTGTGACTGACTTCAGAACACAAGTGCTTTTGCTTTCAAGATAAGTATCTCAAAATTGGAAATACCAGAAAAGTAGGCAGCTATGTAATACAGGAGGCTTTTATTTAACCTTTCTGGGATGCAGAAAGCACAACTGCTTTGGATCCTCTCAAGCCCTTTGCAGTTCTGCCACATCCTCTGGTAACATGCACAGGATCCACCAGGTACAGAAAGGTCCAGGAACACCTTTGTTTCTGAAGAGCAACAGCAGCCTCACTGTGAAGCTCTCTCCAGTGTTTCTAAGGCCTCTCTAAGACACTGCATTTGATAGCTCCTTGATCCACTGGTAACATGAAATGCTCCAACATGTTAAAAACCACAGATGCAGTGCTAGTATAACATTAAGAAATGATGCTTGCTCCAACTGGTGAACGAATTCACAGCCTCCTGCAAACAAACAACTCTAATCGTGAGTGACAAGGACAAAGGAAAGATAAGAAAGACTGCATGTGCACACACTGGTGAGGGGACATACATACACTGTGACCTCCATGCTGGTGCACTCAGGTTCTTTCCCCCTGGATGCCTGCAGGAGCCAGCGAAGCAGCACGGTATCTTCTGGCACGTGGAAGTGGAAGACCTTGGCGTTCCCATACCAGCTGTAGAAGGACAGCCTCTGTGCACTCTGTGAGAAATACTCAGAGACGAACAGGGAGCCTGAAAGGGAGAGAGCACAGCAGCTGCTGGGGTGGCTGGGAGCGGGCTGCACTGCTACAGACACCCTTGGGAGCACACAAGAATTCTAAGGCCACTGGAGAGGAGCCCTTGTGTCCTTGATTTCTCAGCTCAGTTCCAACAGACATTTACTTGGTGATCTACTGAGGTCCCACGGAATGAGATTTGACCGAGTAGCAACGGCTGCACAGATCCACTGCAAAACTGTCACAGCCAGAGAGCACTAGAAGAGCCTTAGCCAGCTCCACAAAACATGGTGTAAAGATGACAGCAAGAGCTGTGTCTGGATCTGTTTCTGCTGAGCACTTGCGCTCACTGGCTAAGACACGTTCTGTACAACACACTGCCTCCCTGTACCACGCACTACAATGAAAATCCACTCGCTGCAAACACAACTTTGCTCTCAAAGATAAACCTTACAGACATTCCTACCTGGAAGCAAGGCTGCCGGAATAGCGACAGCAGCCCCAGCGTAAGGTCTGTGCAAAAGGACAACAGTGAAAAGTGCCGTAGGACTAACTAGAGCCTTCATCCATCCCTCTGCCCACGTGTGCCTACAGATCGCTCCCAGGCTGCAGATCACTCCACACACAGAACTACACTGCTGTCACTGTCAGCAAGAAATCAACCAGACCACAATCAGGGATAGAGAAGAAACGTAATATCAGGATTGGGTACAGGGCAAAACCGTACTAGGAATGGAGCCAAGGTCATTTTGTCCGTCAGCAAATGAGGTTCTTCCCAGTCAGCAAGGTGAAGAATTTGCCTTCATATCTCTACCCAGCCCTCCCTGATGCTCCTTGTCTACTGTGGAATTCTGTGAAATGGAGAGAAACTGTGGTAGCTCTCAGACTCAGAAGAACCATTTGATCAGAAAATAAAGCAGCAAGTGTTGTGTAGCTTGTCTTCAGCTCCTGCTGCTCAGGGTCATGTGGAAACACGCAGGACACAGCTGAGTTTCAGTGAAGTGCCAGAAAAAGTGGAAAAAAGCACTCCTCAGGCAAGAGCAGAACCTTGGGTTGTACTTCGTGCCAAGAGGAAACTAATCCGAGCAGGAAATACGATTCATGCCCCAGAGCAGGATGCATGCTGACCTGAACACACGGCACTGCAAAGAGACAGGAATAGTCATAATGGGTTTAATTTCTTGGCAAATTACCAAGCTAAAGCCTCCAGGCACATTGCAATCCCAACTGAGAAAGGAGGAAACAGGAAAGCAAGAAATACCAGCCACACAGCTTTCAATGCTGTCAAAGAATAAGTCAACAGGAGGATTTACTCTCCAAGGAAAAGGGTGCTAGCAGAACACCACAGCCACTGGCTGCCCCAGCTGATGTCCTGCATCAGAGCCCACCCAGGGCCACACGAGGGTACCTGAGTGAGCTGCACCCCAGCACAGGGCAGCACAAACTCCTCACAGAGCAAAGCACAGCACACGGGCAGTCCTTGCAGGGTTAGGTCATTCTCTGGGCCAGTAAAGAGCAGATATCACTGAAGGGACCCTTCAAGCAAATGCAGATGTGATGCCAGTGCAGTGTATGGGCTCCTACAGACAAGAGTGGAGGCAGGAAATCAGCTGTGCTCTCCTACAAACCCCGTCTTATTTCATGCATAGGAACTACAGAAGAGAGAAGCCTTTAATCAGCAGCTTTTTTGCACCCAGTAGCACTCTGCATACACACAGCGTATTCATTTCTGGACGTCCATGGTGACATTTGGGTGCCAGCACAAGCCAAGGGTAGACAAAGAGAGCAGTAAAGCCTGGACAGCCGTGGTCCTGCCCAAAGGTCACACTGGACAGCCTGATCGGGGATGAACTGTTCTGCCAGCACCCAACAAAACCTGCTTCTGCTCCCCAGCCACGCTCTGCACGGCCAACAGCACCCATCAGCAGCTCCTCACCTTCAAAGGGCCATAGAATAACTTATGAGGCTTTTTAGAGAGGAGTAGAGGGCTGGCAGGCTGCAAAATGAAGAAGTCAAACGTGGGTCATATTAAGGATGGGTCAGTTATACTCACTGAGGTGAGCAGCAGTTACAGCCCAAGGGAATGGCACAGACCCAGGCACAGCATGTGACAGCTGACAAGGTGAACACCTGAGCCTGCAGCGTGGACAAAGTTCAAAGGCACAGTTCTGCTTGGAGAGAACCTACCAGGGCTCCACTCACAGGCTTTGCTATGCTGGGCATCCAGGAAACAAGATGAATTGATTACCACTTCACCTTCAGCCTGGGTTGAGAAGGAAATGCTACATGCAGATAAAACAGATTATTAGAAGAGAAAAGCCAGAAAGACAGGTCATGTGCAAGTGAGGCATGTGCTCCTGCTGCCTGTTTGCATTGAGAGTGCATTCGAATATTGCTGTGCTCTGTATGTGCCTGCTTCTACCCTGTTCTGCACACTCTTCAGAAGCACAGCAACACCTGGGGAGTCAGACCTGACCGTCCAGAAATGCTCACAGCTCTTTGAACTGAACAAGGCAGTTGTGAAACCCCTATGGGAAAGGATGGAAACAACATAATCTGATACTGAACAACAGCTTCCTTCTAAAAGTTTCAAACAGATGATGCAAAAAGCAGAAAAGATTTTAAGAAAACAAACAAAACATGAGGAGAATCACAGATGCACAGAGGAGACACATTCTTTGAATTTCTGAATAAAGAACCACCTGCGACAGCTTGGATTTGTTCATCCAAAGATTATCTCACTCTACTTCCAGACATGTTCACTGCTGGTTTCAGAGCTCCCCATGAAAAGGACAAGGTCCCAGTTCCAGAGCAGATGCAAGTATCTCTCTGGGGCTTCAGAAGAGCCAGCACTTCACAAGCCAGCAGGCTCAACCCTGTGCAGAGCTTAGGTCAAGCAGCAGTTCTAAAGGGACACAGAGTGCAAGAAAACCCTCAGTACAGCGATACAAACTGTACTCAGCTACATCAATGTGCCTCAAGACAAGAGATGGCTGTGGCAGGTTTTTTCATGCTGTTTATAACGTAATCCATGTCAAAACCCCCATCTTTATCTATCCCAGGACTCTTTACTCCTCTCAGGAGGACCAGATCCTTAACAGCTCTCAGACCCAATGTGGCATTCCCTTGATCTGGCAGGATGACGCGGAGAAGAACCCAATATCACACCTTGAACACAGGGGAGGTTCCTGAGGGCAGGGAACCCACCGAGCAGGATGCCAGAGCAGGGCTGGCCTGGGGCAAAGCAACATCTCACCCTGGCGCCAGCAGCTCCCCGAGCAGGCTATTTGAAGCACAGCATGATAACCACTCTCAGCAGCTGATAACCACAGTTACATACACCTACCTCCACATCAGGGTGAAGAGAGCAAACAACCACACTTCTCCAGCACCACAATCAGCTGCTGGCTCTCCACTGGACAAGGCACAGCCCTTGAGAAGAACAGGTCCCCAGCAGAGCCCTGCCACGCACACAGCGGGAGCCCCGGGCTCACTGCCCCAAAGAGCAGCCCTTGCACCTCCAAAACCACTGCACCTGCTTCCAGCCCACTCAGAGCCTGCTTCTGCCCATCCACCCCAACACATCACCTGTGAAACAGAATAACCACCACACACAGAGGGGAAAATCTTAAGAGTCATAGGATGGCTTGGGTTGGAGAGGACCTTGAAGGATCATCTAGTTCCAACCCCTGCGCTGTGGGCTGGCTGCCCCTCACCAGATCAGGCTGTGCAGGGACCAGTGCCTGGTCCTCCGTGCATCCCAGGATGGTGCACCCACAGCTGTCTGGACAGCAGTGCCAGGGCCTCAGCACCTCTGAGTAAAGAACTTCTTCCTAAAATCTCACCTAAATCTCCGCCCTTTCAGTTTAAAGCCATTCTCCTATCACTATCAAGCCATGTAAAGTCAGTCTCTCTCTTGCTTACAAGCTCTCCTCAAGCACTGGGAGGCCACACTGAGGTTTCCCTGCAGCCTTCTCACCTCCGGGCAGAACAAACCCAGTTCTCAGCCTGTCTCCATAGGAGAGATGCTGCAGCCCTTCGATCCACCCAGGCTTGATCCCCAGTGTCTCCAGGAGGAACCAGCCTGGCCCAGAAGGCGCACAGCACTGCTCTGCTGAACACAGACGACAGTTCATACAGCATAAAGCTCAGCAGCTCCCAGCAGCTCCCGGCTCCGAGCTCAGGGATCTCAGCAGCCCTCACACTGTACTCCACACAGCTTTCTGCCCACTGTGAAGTAAGGCTCGGCCCTGCCGGACCTTCAGCGTGCCCCGAGGCCCATCCATCACACACATCCCAGCCGTGTCCCGCTGCCTGCACAGCCCGGGCTTCATCCTGCCCCAAGTGCCACACGCAGACCGCGTCCGCACCAGCGGGGCTCCCGGACCTCATTGCCGCGATGCCCCAATTAAACTTCGCCCTCTCCTCGTGCCACGATGCGGCCGCAGAGGGATGCGAGGCTCCATGGCCGGCGGCCTAGGGCCGGAGGCAGCGCGGCGGGGACCCAAACCGACCTTCGTGGCCGCGATCCGGGACAGGCATCGCCGACCCCGCGTCTCCCGGACGGACGGCTCCGGCCGGCCCCCCCAGCCCGCACTTACCGGCGCCGGTGCGGTTGCCGCGCCCCGCGGGCAGCGCCAGGAGCTGCAGCAGCGGCAGCAGCAGGCGCAGCGCCGGGCCGGCTCCCCGCGCCATGGCCGCCCGCGCTATCCCGGCATCGCCGCCCGCCGCCCGCCCCACAGCGCCATCGCCACCGCCGCCGCCGCCGCCGCCGCCTCCCGCTTCCGCCGCCGCCGCCCCGCCCCGCTCCGCCCCCGGGACGGCCGGAGCTCAGCCGGTGCGCGGTGTTTCGCCGGCGGCTGGGAGGTCCGGGCCGTCAGGGAGCGCCGGGATGTATCTGGGAGCGGCCCTCGTGGTGGGACGGCGCTCGGGATGAGCTTTGGGGAGTCCTGGAGCCCTGACTGCGCCCCAGGGCCCGCGGGTAACACGGGGAACCCACGGACGCAGAGCTCACGCGGTCCTGGCGCGTCCCCCCGGCACCCTGGCGGCTCCCGAGACCCCAGGAGGGTGACGTGGGACGGGCTCACAGCCTCGGCATTGCTCCGAGCCTCTCCCGGAGTCCTCGAATGCTGCCCGCTCCCTGGTGCGGCCGCACGCGGGCCCGATGCTGGCTCACCTCCGGCCGCCCTCCCTGCGCTGCTCGGGGCTCGCAGCGGCGGCTGCCCCTGCCCTGCTCCTCTGCCCCGGGAACGGCAAAGCTGGGCAAACAAAGGGCTCGCAGCTCGCCAACATCTTCGGGTGCTGGGACGTGGCAAACCGCCCCCCCACCCTGTGACAGCTCTGCCTCTGTACCTCAGAGCCCCTGCAGTGACACCGGGAAGTACACATCAATCACAGTAATTGTTGCCCCAGCCGCTGTGTGCACAGGGAACGGGTTGCTCACCTCCTGCCAGTAACCTGTGTGTACCAAGGCTGAAAAAATCCCCTTTCCCCACAGGCTCACCCTGGCTCAATCGCACCTCAGAGCCTGTGCGCTCCTGAGGTCAGCGGCATCTTTTGTAGCCCATCCTGCACAGAGGAATTGTCCTATTGTCACAAGTAGGGTTGGCCTTCAAAGCGAGGACACGATCTCACTTTTGTTCTGCCTCAAAGAGAACGTCAAGAATTCCCGAGAATGTTTTTTTTTGTTTAATGAACCAACAGAAATTCTTTATCTTCCTTGTTTACCATTAAAACCCCTGCAAATCTCATGCAAGGGCTACATCTGCAGTTTGCTAATTGGTGTGGGTAAGAGTCTACTGGGGGTTTCACTGGAGTTTGTGATGATTTTTGCCTTGTTTTTCCCAGGCAGATAACCCAGCAGCAGTGATATCTGTGCTGCAAACATCCCCATCTGAAGGTATGATCTGGAAAAATAAGTAATGGTGACCTGTCCAAATTCAGTCCACGGAGCTTTAACAATGCTGACCCATGAATTTTGGTAAATACATTTCTACTATTAAAAAAAAGACACTCAGCTGTTGAAGGAGGCATAAAATCTTCCTGACTAAGCAGCTGCACATTTTGTTGTAGTGCTTTCCATAAATCCATTGCTGGGCTCCTCCTGGCCATAAGCAGAGAGCACAGAGCTGGCACAGCCTGCTCCTGTAGCCCTCCCTGTTTGTCTGGTTCTGGTACAAACAGTCAAAAAAGCAGAGCTGGGTGGGAAACCCTATTCTCCATCCCCCTCCAGCTACAGCCTGGCTGTGTTATGTCTGCCTTGCAGCTCGTTGCCTAAGTGAAATCACAGTGATACAGGATCTAGAAAGGAAGATTATAATGAAGAGCTGCATCTCAGGCACATGGATCAAAAACCTGAGAGCTGTATACTTCAACTCAAGATGGAAATATCAGACTTTGTTCCTTCATTACAGGAGAGTGGTGAAAGGCTTTCCATTGTAGTGTATGGTTAATGTGATCCAGCAGTGTCTCAGGTCTTTTCTCATTCATCAAATTCATTGCAGGTTTGCCTTTCTTGTTCTGCCCTGAGAGCCCCACCTGTGGCTGGCCAGGCACTGGTTGGCTCCTAGCATGGCTGTGCAGTTCTGGCCTCTAAATCTATGGACACAGTGCATGCAGGAAGAGTCCTAAGTTCAACTGAGAGTCTGAGAGCAAGTGAGATGGACGTGGGGCAGCTGCAGTATGATGATGGTCTGGGAAGACCGAGGTTTGTCAGGAGAGGGCACAGAAAGGGCCTGCTTTACTCAGTCATAAGGGCAATGTGGATCTGGTGCTCACTGGATTTTGCAGTACTGGAATTAGAGGCCATCGATGAGTCCAGTAGATTGGTTTGAAACAGATAAAAGGGACTTCATGTGAGGCAGGGAGGGAGAATGAACTTCTGGAACCTGCTGCCACAGGAGGCTGTAGAAACAAATGGGGTCAGCAGGTTTATAAAGGGATGAGCAAATTCATGAACAACAGGTCAACAAACAGATGCTGAAGGCAACGTGCAGGAACTTATTCTCTGAAATCATTTACTGCTGCTGCAGGTGTTGGAGGAGCACAACCTAAAACGGCGAGGCTTCTGTGCTCTCCCCAATGCCATCTCCTACTGCTGAGCACAGCACCGAGTGAGATGATCCAACCATCAGATCCAGCAGAGCTTATGTTCTTTGTATCAACATCCCTAAGCACATTCAGATCATCTCAGGTGGCTGGTGTGTGGTAGGAAGATAGGCGACTGGCAGGGAGAAGTGTCTGCATTTCCATTCCGTATTGAGAATCGGATCAATCCTCAGTGGACAACGTCCAGCAGGCCTGACACAAAAGGTTTCTTCATTGAAAAGGGTTACTGGTGGTACAGTCACAGTGGAAACCTTGCTGGATCTGATGACCAAAACACACACGGTCAGCCACACAAACAAAGGGGGAAAAAACTGTGAGGGAGCTGTGGTAAATTTCTGCTGTTCGGTTGATGAATGGCTCCCATGCAGCAGTGACAGCCTGGAGAAGGAATTTGTGGCCAGTGTCAAACTACTGCAGGTCTGCTCCACCTCCTGTCAGCTGTAAAACCCGAGGCCTGGGTTCTGCCATGGGTATCTCCAGCAGTAAGGGGTTCAGCGTGCTTCATGCCTTCTTGGTCAAAGGGAACTCATGGAATGGGATTTGGACAGGTCAGCTTGGAGGGTGATGAGCAGAAAGTTTTCCTAAGATATTGTTTATGGCATTAAACTTTTTGTGGTGGCAACAAAGCACAGACAGTGTTTAAGTTCTGATAAGGCTTATTTTTATCATCCCTGTTCTCTGTACAGACTCATGCAGCTGATGCTTGATGTGGCTGCTCCACTGGGAGCAGTCTCTGCTTTCAGAAAAGGAAGGAGAGAAAATACTTTAAGTCCTCCATCAAAACTGACATTATGGTGAAGGAATACTGAGCACACAGGGACATGACAAAAGACCAAGACGAAAAATCACAAGGGTCTTAAAGCCTAAAAAGAAAATATCCCCTGAGGAAGGTGTTGACGCAGCAGGGACAGGAAAAGCACTCACAGAAGAGAGAAAATAGAGTCAGCCTTCACTAAAATGTCATTTTTGATAAGGGACTTAACACTTAAGGAAGGTAGATAGGTCCTGAAAAGAGTGGATTAAAGTATAGTGCAATCATTTCAGTGTTTCCAGACTGCCTGAAAAAAAATCCCCTTTACCTCAGCGACTGATTGAAGCCATTTCACTCCATCAGAATCTTTGAGAAATGGTGGAGGGTGACAGCGTTGCAGAATAAGACAATAAGGTCTATTCTTATTAGCAGGGCAAAAAGTGGAAACCAGGGAACTATAAGACAGTCAACTTCAATTCACAACTAACAGTGGGACATTTAATCGAAGTAAGAGATGAGTAATAAGCGTTGCTACTGCCAAGAATGAATCATTTCAGATGAGTCTGTTTTCCTTCTGTGACAGATTCCAGTTCTTGGTTCAACATCATTATTCACTGTTCCTTCATCAATAACTTATGTGTTGTAATAGAGAATACACTTATTAAAATCTCGGATGGGTCTGAGCTGGAAGGGCTGTGAGCAACCCAAAGCATTGGGTTAAAAATGGCTTGGATGTATCAGAGAGAGCAGTTGAATATGGAAAGGCTGACATTTAGGAAAGAAAAACTGTCCAAACCTAAGGCAAACAAGCTGCTTAGACAGGATTTTTTCAGTAAAGACCTATAGGTTGCTATTTTTTTTTTGCTATCGGCCTACTGAATGCCAATGTCAGATGAAAACACAGAAGAACCTTTCGTAAACATGTGATGTTCTCCCTCATCTCTCTAGCAAGAAGATCTCTCAACTGGTATATTGCAGTTGGCTCTCAGGAAGAAAATTTGTTTTCCCACTGCTTCTTTGGTAACTGAGGAAGTACATTTTGAGTGGGAAATTCTTGCTAACCTCCTCTAAGATGCTTGCCTTCTTCCACAAGTACATATCACTGTGTCCCTTTCCAGGAAGCATTCTCTCCATTGCCAGCTGTATCCTGGGCTGCATCAGGGGGGTGGGGGTGGCAGCAGGACGGGGAGGGGACTGTCCCCTTCTCCTCTGCCCTCTGAGCCCCCACTGCAGTGCTGCATCCTCGGGCCCGGCGCAGGAAGGATATGGAGATGTTGGAGCGTGACCAGAGGAGACCATGAGGATGGGGCTGGAGCACGTCTGCTGTGAAGAAGGGTTGACAGAGCTGACTTGTTCTCCCTGGAGAAGGGTGAACAGCGAGATCTCACTGCTGCCTTCCAGTACATAAAGGGAGCAGATGAACAGAAGAGAGATCGACTTTTTACACAGGTAGATAGTGATGGGACAAGAGGGAATGATTTTAAACTAAACGAGGAGAGATTTAGGTGAGATGTGAGGAGGAAATCTTTCACTTAGAGGGCAATGAGGCTCTGGCACTGCTGCCCAGAGC